AAATTATTTCGTAATTTGAAATGTATTGTAATAATTTTGCAGGTTTCATACAATGTTGATGGATTTTGTGAGAAAAATCGTGATACGTTCTATAAAGATCTTATTGCATTGATGCAACAAAGTAATCGGTTAGATCTTTTTTTTTTTTGTTTTATTTTTCATTTTATTTTAAATCTAAATTTAAATTATCATTGATATTATTGAAAGATGTGAGAAGGACGATTTAAATGGCGTAATTTTCCATTTCAAAATTTAATATTATTGTTGTAGAAAAAGCAAATGAGAAAAAGAAAAGCAAGCAAATCTTTTTTACAGTCAATTTTTCAAACAACTTTTTCCGGAAATTGTATCGTCCAGTGGAAAGAAGCCAACAAGTTTTTCATCTAAAATTAGGGTTACTTTAATCATTTATATTTATTTTCATTCATTTTATTTGCGTCTTTAATTTCAAATTCAGAAAAAATTAATAGCATAAAAAATGGAAAAAAGAAGGGAAGAAATATAAAAATGCAATAATAATTTTGTATGAAATTGATATAATACATATTACATAGGAAATAAAATGGATTTAAATAAATAGAAATTAAATTAATTTCAAATTGAACCAACATGAATTACATCTTATATTACAGAATCAAGCAAATGAATTGGTTGATTCGCTTAGTAAATGTGCTCCTCATTATGTACGTTGCATTAAGCCAAATGATACTAAGCGATCATTGGAATGGGATGAGAAACGGTCAGTGATTTTCAATTCATTTCATTTCATTTCATTTTTTAAATCATTTAAATTGCCGATGGAAACGTTGATTCATGCAATACAATCATCGATATTACACGAAATTTTTTGCTTCATAAGTCAAATTAAAAAGTTTGAATAAAATTTGTCAAATTTTCATCACAATATTAATTCTTTTTGTAGAATTAACAAAGAGATTAGACTGAATGAATATTATTTTTTTTTTTTTCAATTTTCATTTTTTTCTAGTGTGTTACATCAAGTGGAATATTTGGGTTTAAAAGAAAATATTCGAGTTCGACGGGCAGGTTTTGCATATCGTCGTCTTTTTGACAAATTTCTTTATCGTTATGCTATTCTTAGCCCAAAAACATGGCCTAATTATCATGGTGATCCTCGGGAAGGAATTAAGGTTTGAATTTATATTTTATTTATTAACCAATGATAATAAGTAGAGGATTAGGCAACAAAAGCTTTGAGTATTATTTGCTGTTGCAGTTCTTATGTGAATATTTATCGTCAACTTTTCATTTCAATAAAAGTTTGAAAAATTTACTCCTAACTGATAATTCAAAACAATCGTTATAGATTATTATGTATGAAAAGATTTCAATTCATTACTTAGACTTTTTAATTTCAATTCTGATTTCAAATTAATAAATTGGATTTAATTTGTTGTCAAATGATACGAAATGATTTCGTCAAGTGAAGAGTGATATAATTTGTTATTTTTAATCTTTACTGATCTATTTTATTATAAATTATATCTTTCTTCTGATACAGAGAAGATTTTTCATATTATATTGATAAATTAACAGATATTATTTTATCATTTCATTATCTCTTTCAATAACAAACAATTCTTTTCTTATGTCAATGATTAACACTTCAAAAATTTATTTTAGATCATTTGTCAAACAGTAAATATGGATCGCGATCAATATCAATTGGGTAAAACAAAAATTTTTATCAAAAATCCTGAATCGGTTTGTTATTGTTGCCCTTAAGATATAATTTTTTACTAATTTGCATATTATATATATATATATTGTTAATTTAATTTATTAACTTCATGCGCATTTTGTTTTATGATTTGCATTGTAATTCCACATGTCGTTTTTCTTATCTGTCTTATGCATCATTATAGCTTTTCCTTTTGGAAGAAATGCGTGAAAGGAAATATGACAGTTATGCACGTGTAATTCAAAAAGCATTTAAAAAATTTACTGCTCAAAAACGATATGCCAAATTGAAGGTAACTTTTTTGTTTAGTGATCCGCTTGATGAAATAGCAATAAAGAAAATAAATTTAGCTGTAAAAATATCAGTCGATTAAGGGAAGAGATAAAATATATTTACTAGAATTGTTAGGTTTTAAATTTAATGTATGATTAATTAGCATAGAGAATATATTGTTTAACGATCTATTAAATACTTAAAATTGAAATTTGAACTTTTATGTTTCAGATACTAATGCAAAAATTTTGAGCTAAAATAACAATAATATATTTATGATATTTTACTTTCATTAATCATTACAATGCTATCAAAATTTTGCCATCAAATACGATTAATAAAAATAATATACTGAAAGTGTTTTTATTTTTTTCTTCAAAAATTTAAAATTAGATTTGAACATTTAGTGGTGTTAATATGATTAATAAAAGCGATACATCGAGAATGCTAGAATTGATTACTAATTAATATCTAGTAGCATAAAATTTCAAATTTCAAACATTTCATGCTTGAAATGGTTAAAACAGGATCCGGTGTGTGATCTCATCATACGATTGTTTCTAATATCATCAGAGTGTTTTATTTTTCGAAGAAACGATGAATTTATTGTAGGAAGATGCGTATAGTTTATTCTTGAATAGAAAAGAAAGAAGACGATTTTCAATAAATCGTAATTTTGTTGGTGATTACATCGGTCTCGATTGTCATTCCGCTCTACAAGCATTAGCTGGTAGAAAGGAGCGTATTGTTTTCGCTGCAACAATTAATAAATATGATCGAAGATTTAAGGTTGGTTAAGTGTTATTTAATTTCCATTTAATACTTTGTAATTTAATTTTGTTGTTTGTTTTTTGCCGCTAAATAATGTAAGGGAAATTGAAGTTTATGCTAATTGCAAATATGCTTAATCGAAATTTCAATTTTTAATTAGTACCAGTTTTATGATATTGGATTAGTAGATTAATTGCTATAATACCTTGATCTGAATTATAAATTATCTGCAGTTTATTAATAATTTCAACTTCTCGAAAAATTAATCATTGCATGGGAATTTTTTTCAAATGTCTTCATTATGACATTTTTTTTTAGGTTTCAAAACTTGATTTTCTTATAACAACGAATAAGATTGTTCTTATTGGAAGGGAAGTGGAAAAGAAAGGACCAAATAAAGGGAAAATTATTGAGGCAAAATTTTATTGTTATTCATTCTTTGTATGATATAAAACATTTATTGTTATCTTTGTTGTTTTTATTATTATGATTGCTGCTATTGTTAT